GTTCTTTTCCCAGGCTACCGGAGTGGACCGGGACCACTTGCCCATCCGGACCAAAACAAAAACAAAAATTAAAATAAATAAATATATTTTGTTTTTTATTTTAAATTTGGTAAAGAATTTCGATGTGACCCTGAGGCAAAAGTTGTTCACTGTATTTTTCTGCATGACATTGTTTATTAGTTTTTTTTTTTGTTTTTTTTTTCGGCGGGGGGGGGGGGGGGGGTGGACCCTCTTTGGACCTTGCACGGCCGGGCCGCCCAGGCGAACAAGGTGACCTGGGCGGCCCGGCTGGTAGCCTAGGTTTTCTTGCTTTACTTTGTCTTTTTTTCTGGAATTTGGTGAGTGGATAGTGGGCCTTGCTGACAGGCAGATTCTACGTCCTGCCTTCCTGGCAGGAGCCAAAAAAGAATGGAAAAAAAAATGAAAGTTATGAAACTACTTACCTTTGTTTTTTGGAACTTTTCCTATTTTTCAAAGGGTGACTGCTCTGAGATATCATCACTGAATTGTCTGGCCCCAGGGAATTCATAATTATTTTATTCTGCTCATCTGGTTTCATCTGGATGATTGGAAATGAGGTCCGTGAGGTGTGTACATCGACAGTTCATAGGTGTGCCAACTGAGTTTTGATGCCTGTCGAGAATCCGCCTGTATCTAGTGCTTGAACTTGGACTAGATACAGGGGCTGGCTTGGTGGAGAGTTTGGCTGGGCTGGCGCATGAGCGAAAACAGCTGCTTCCTTTCCGTTCCATCTGCGGGCAGCAGGTCCTGCACTTCAGTTTCCCAGAGACCGGTGCCGAGTGCACCCTCAATTTTCCAAGCGCTGGTACTGGTCTCTCTTTCAGGCTCGGCAAAATGCACTTTTTTTGTTCGACAATTTAGCTTCGAGGGACTGGTGGTTTAAAGCCTCGTAATCTAGGCTACCCAGTGGCAGGGACCACTTCCCCGGGCGGGAGCCCAATGCAGGAGGGTGGATACGAGCACCTAAAAGTAGGGCCCTTGAGCGATGGCTCCCCCATATTGCCAGTGGGCGAGCATTGCGTAGTGGAATTGGGGTCCTCATCCCTTACATTCAGCACATCATTGGCACTGTATCTGGGTCAGCATTGATTGCCCTATGGGGGAGCCGCGCCGGAGCAAAATGGCTGGCGGCGACAAGCCACAAGGAGGCCCGCACCAGTTTGTTGGTACCCAGTTCGTCTACAGCCCCGGAGAAAAGCGCCTACGAAGGACTTATCCATTAGTATCTGTGTACCCTTCCCAGATCCTGTGTGTGTCCATCCATTCCTGGGGGCTCCCGATCCCGTCCTGGTCCCAGTCAGTGGCAGTGAGGGCTCTGAGGTATCACTGCAGTGATGTCATGTGCTCAGAGGAGGGGAGAGAAGGGGAGGGAAAGGAGGGGTGGAGGGGAGGGAAAAGGGCGGAGCGCACTTGTGTGTTCAGCCATTGCTGGGGGGTTGGGGGGCCCTGGTCTTGGTCAGCGGCAATCAGGGCTCCGAGGTATCACCGGCATAGGGAGAGAAGGAAAGGGTAGAGAAGAGGAGGATGGGCAGGGGGCAGGAAGGGTTGGGGTGCGCTTAAGGAGGGAGCAGAACGAAGTTGGTTGGCCTTCACGAGATGCTGAAGTGTTCCTGAGTGTTAAGAGGTTCAGGGGTTTCCTGGGATTTGCGAAAAGCAGCACCCTACGATGTTTATGACAAAGTAGAATTTGATGTACCCGTAGGTACACGAGGAGATTGTTATGATCGTTATTGTGTCCACATTGAAGAAATGCGACAAAGTCTTCGAATCATTGTCCAATGCTTGAATCAAATGCCTAGTGGCATGATCAAAGCGGATGATCGTAAACTTTGTCCTCCTTCACGCTCTCAAATGAAACAATCCATGGAATCCTTAATTCATCACTTTAAGCTTTACATCAAAGCGGATGATCGTAAACCTGTCTCTTATACACATCTAGATGTGTATAAGAGACAGGAGGGTGTGTCTGTACCAGCTTCTTCTACGTACACCTGTGTAGAAGCACCCAAAGGAGAATTTGGTGTATATTTAGTTAGCAACGGAACCAATCGTCCTTATCGTTGTAAAATTCGAGCACCTGGTTTTGCTCATTTACAAGGGCTTGATTTTATGTCGAAACATCACATGCTCGCAGATGTGGTTACTATCATAGGTACTCAGGATATTGTGTTCGGAGAAGTAGATAGGTAACACTTCGTGTCATATTAAGACCATATAATCGCTACAAATGATAAAGGTATGTATTCCATTCTCCATTCGGCGGACGTGCTTTATTTATGCATCTTTCTACGCTTCGTCTTAATGCGCCGCGTCTGCTCTATCGCCAGAGTCGCCTGGTTTAGGGCGCCGCAGCGACTCGTCGCCAAACTCACCTGACTCCCGTTTGTAACTTACAAACACGTGTGGTATTGTCAGGTCCAGGCGCCTGGCTGGTTTACCATATATAGCATATAGCTACAATAGTTTGAAATCAAGCTCACTTGGTGAAAATGGTAAACACGACAGACTTAAAATCTGTATCTTGAATTCGTGATAACAAGGCGCCGCTTATACACTGAGCTTCGCCCTTCACTAACCATTTTGTGTTTTTCCAATTTCGTACTTTGCGCAATGCTTTATGAGGCCCAGTAGAAGAGGGCAATTGGCTATGTTAGAAGGTGCAAAATTAATTGGAGCGGGCTGTGCAACAATCGCATTAGCTGGAGCCGCTGTAGGTATTGGAAACGTGTTTAGTTCTTTGATTCATTCTGTTGCACGAAATCCTTCATTGGCGAAGCAACTATTTGGTTATGGTGCGCCGTGCGTAAGAGGACACACGAAGTGCTGCACCCTCGTCGACATATTCTCTGGGCGTTGGTCACGAATTTTCCCATTGGTTCTCCGTACTGTGAAAACCTGTGCCCGAGTCGCCCGAACCCGGCAACCCGTAAGAATTTGCACGGGGAGTGACCCACCCGGGGTACCTGGGCGACACCCAAAAGGGGGTCGATTTTGTTTTTTGTTTTCCCTTGGCACTGGGGCAATTTTGCGCCCACTTAGACGTGCCCAAATCCGGTCTTATCTCTGAGTTTGGTGATATCTCACCAAAGGGTGTCTATGGGGTATAAGCGGGGTTCAAAAGGGCTCGAAGGAGCTTCAGAGCGCGCTAAACTTCGGGTAACGGGGTATGATGTTACTATGATTTAATTTAGAATTTTATTTTTATTTTCATTTTCGGATTCCGTAGCGAATTTTGTGGTCGCCCTCGGGCAAAAGATTTTTGGTTTGCAACTCTGCACGCAATATATTTTCTCCCTTTTTTTTTTTTTTTTCATTTTTTCGTTTTGTTTTTCGCTCTGGGACTGCCTGGGACCTTGACCGGGACTTTACCCGGGCGCGGCCCAACCGAGCCGCCCGGGCCCATCTGAGGCATCCCGGGCCGCCCGGCTAGTAACACAGGTGCCAAGGTTTTCATGTGATGTTTTTTTGTCTATCCAAACCTTCCTTTTTTTTTTCGTGAGGGTAAATGAACCCTTTTTTTATTTTTTCAACGAACATTTTTGTCAGGATTTCTCGATTTTCTGGAGACTTTTCTTCTCCTAGTTCCAGTTTTAAGTGTCTGCCACCGTTTCTCGATTTCTGAGTGTCATCCTTGTGCAGGGGCCATGCTAATCTTCCTTCTCTGTATCCTTCCAATTTCAACGGATGTCCCGTAGGACCATTCTGAAATAATATAATAATTACTACCTTCTTCTCCCGAATAGCTATAATGGCCGTACGTACAGTGTATTCGGGGGAAGAAGGTAGCATAGCTTGCGGGAATCCAAAAGTTATGTCGTTTCCTTCCCGAGGCACATCTTGCTCTCCATGCGCACATTAGGACTGTTAATTAATGATCCACGACGCAAGAGTCATAGCACAAGAATTCAGAATTCGGCAAATGGCATAAACCAAATTCGGCAAATGACATAATCCAACTTACAGGACCAAATGCAGCACAAGGGTTCAGCTCATGGTTACGGTCCAGACGCCTGGACCCCAGTCCAGACGCTATCGGTATTGGAAATGCACTCTGGACCAGGTGCAGTCCGGACGCCCGGACCGCAGTCCAGACGGTCTGGGCTGGATGTCCGGGTCTGGTGTCCAGTCCAGGGTGTCTGGCCCCGTCCCCCCACCCCCCAACCTCCCAAAAGAAATTCCAACTTGAAAAGAAATTAAAACAATCTGAGAAAAGAAATGTTATCCAGGATTGTTGCCATACAGACGTATTTTGGCTGAGTGAGTGAGGTCCATCTGGCAGTTCGCAGCCAAATCCAACGAATAATGGTCCGTCGTTCGGGTCCGGCACAACCATGGTTCCGCAACAACACAACCATGCTTCGGCAATGAGGCGGACCAGCCTGCACGACAATGGCACAAGGCAAACTCACAGGACAATGGGGGCCTCGCTCCACTGCACAGCACTCTCCATGCAGCATTTGGACGCTTTCCAATTCCGATAAGTTTTTTTCTTGTTGGACTCTTCCGAATGCACCTGGTCCAGAGTGCGTCCAAATGCATGTAGAGTGTTGTGTCGTAGTCTTATGGATGGCAAGTACTGCAGCTCGAATCATGACCAACTCGCAGTACAAAAGTTAAACGCAGAAGAACAATATGCAATCGCACAAAAAAAAAGAGTAAAGAAAAAAAATAAAGCAAGAGCACAGGAAGGCAAAGAATCGACATGAGACAGAAGGAAGCCACAGCAAGAGAGCCACGGATAGTAGTGAAAGCGCTGAAAAATGCGCACCGAAATTGATTTTTTATGGAGAATATAGCTCCGTGCACATACAGGCGAAGTAGCTGCGACCCCAATCCGGCAATGACAGAAATGACAGCCAGGGAAGCGGCTACAACCCTAACCTCCCTCCCTCCCTCCCTCCTCCCTCCCTCCTCCCTCGCTCCTCCCGCCGTACTTGCCTACTTGCCGGTAGGACGGGGAAATGACATCTTGTGAGGGAGATGGATCGGCCAGCGCTAAATTTAGGTTCTGAATCAGGCAGGAACGAACACACTGCCTCAGGAGCACTTGTCCGGCGATTGCCCACACTTGCTCTACTCTTCCCAGAGCATGAACTGTCCTGTAGAAGGCGCCACTGTAAAGCGAACGCAGTGTGTACCCTTGGCGCCGGGAATGAACGTATCTGACGTCAATGGGGACTGTTGGGAGTGAACGTATCTGACTTCAATTGTGACTGCTGGGAATGAACGTATCTGACATCAATTGTGACTGCTGGGAATGAACGCATCTGCCTTCGATTACAGCCACATTCAGTAGCCGCCACAGTAAAGCACACGCAGTTCTACCCTCGATTGCAGTGGTGTGTGTACCCTGTCTCGTTCCAACAGAGCAGCCTTCGTGTAAATGAACCAAAGCGGGAAAAACGAAAGAAGAGGAGCTAAGAGCATTCTCAAATTGCAACTGCTGGGAATGCACGTATCTGACTTCGATTACGGCCACATTCAGTAGGTCAACAAAGTCCCAGTGTGGAATCCTGAATCACTTAGAGACCGACATTCGACGCACAGCAGCTGCTGAACGGGCACCTTCTTCTTCTTCTTCTTCTTCTTCTTCTTCAAGCTGGTTGGCAATCGTTACAAACCCCGAACCATCTGACCTGACTGGAACGAAGACAAATCCCTTGACTTCACGAAAAAGAAAATTCCCCCGCAAGTACACCGACTCACTCATTCCAAGACTTGCATTCAAATCACAACTGCTGCGCGGACAGCTTCTTCTTCAGTTCGAGGCAATCATCATGCTCCTCCTCCTCCTTCACGTTGATAACGATCGTTCCAAGCCCCGAAACACCTGACCTGACTGGATTGAAGACAAATCCCTTAGTCTTTGACAAAGCACCCCCGTATGTATACCCTGAATCACTTCAAGACTGACATTCAAATCACAGCAGCTGGGCAGGCATCTTCTTCTTCTTCTTCGAATTGGTGCAAATCACATTACAAACCTGATACAGAATGGAGATACATCCCTCTGCTGCTGCTGCTGCTGCTGTATGCTACCTCCATCCATCGCTTCTTCTTTATAAATAATAATAATAATAATGAGAAGTTCAAGAACCAAGCAAGCACACTTTCTTTTACGCCTCTACGGAATGCCATGCAGAAGATGTAATCCTATTCGTTGATGGCATGCAATCCTCGTCAATGTCGAGCTCTGACTAGATAGAGCACAAAACAGTCGCCTGACATGTATATAACCCTAGCTAGCATCAATATTCATCTCTGTCAATAGCTCTTCAGTTCTCCCTCGAGTCTCCCATCCTCCCTTCCTGATCACCCAGCAACCTGCACGTAGCTGTTCTCCACCGCATCCTACACGTCTCATATGTCAATACTTGGTTCATTCCACAAGCTGCACCATGCCCACGTCAGCCTCCTTGTGCGTGATGATGGCTAATGGGAGAATTTGGCAACGCGACGGCTAGAGGCTGACAAACAGAACCTGTTGCGTCGTAAAACATGCATGTGGAGGCGGGGGGGGGGGGGGGGGGGGGGGAGAACGGTCCCGGCAACCGCCTTTGTGACTTTCGTCACTCCACGCGTGGTGTTTCTAACTTTCTGTGAGACAATTTAAAAAACTTGACATTCTCACTCCGCAGAGATGAGGCCGACTCGATTCGACGGATAACTACTGACCTTAAACAAATGAGCAAACGATTGCCAGTACGCAGTGGAATATCAGTGGGTAGCGCATGCGCACGTGCATGCGCATGCGTCTTGCCCGTGTGTGTAAGTGTAACATGGGATGGATATTGTACATAACAGTCAACCGTCAGGTCGGTAACTGCTGTACATGACGTTAAGTACAGAGGCTACGGATAACGACGCCGGTGTCTTGCGTATGGATGCGCGCACGACGGCATTAAACGCAATGAATGATGTACGTAAACAAGAAGGCTAGTTGGTGCCCGTTTGTGCGGAGCCGTTGCACGCACAAAAAGGAGGCAACCACCTCTGTGACTTCTCGGAACACTCCACGCTTTGTGCTTCTGTGAAAGAATATAACGAAAGAATGTCGACATTGTCACGGTTCACTCACGTGAGATTGACTCGATTCGACCGATAAGCGACGATGATCTCGAACCATCTGAGCACAAAGACGGCTAGGCACCATCCATTAGATATGCCAGTATGCAGAGTGGAATGGCGGGTAGCACATGCGTTCTTGCCAGTGGAAGTGCAATATGGACGGATATTCTACATAACACTCGCCCGTCCCTGCTGTACATGACATAGTACGGCAGGCAACGGATAATGATGAAGGACGTAACAGAGGTGGCGTACTTGTGCATGTGAGTACAACAACATTGAATGCAATGAATGATGTACGTAAACGAGCAGCTAGTTGGCACCATATTTGTATGGTTGCATATCACGTAATGCATCCAACACTAGTGCACCCACCGTATTGTTGCCTGTCTGCGGCAAGTAACCCACATTACGATCCATGGGCCATGCACGCTACCATATTTCTTCCACAGAGCTCAAACTTCGGTGCACCCCGAGGGCGCTGCCAGAGAAAAGAACCTAGCATGCATTTGGACGTGCACAGGACCACATTTATGGTGCAAGAGAGAGAGAGAGAGAGAGAGAGAGAGAGAGAGAGTAGGTTATACCCTCGGGCAGGGTAGAGTTGGGTATATCCTAAGGTAGTGGAACTTCCAGATGAAATCCGTCCGTTGCTTTCCCGTAGTGGCCAGTGCCTGTTTGCATGCTGACACCAGTCGGCCTGGCAGCTGTCCGAAACACAATTCTGCACAGCTTGCCACCGATCGCAGGTCGGGTTTCTCCCTGCTCTATATGCCTTCTCCCTTGACTCGTCCCTTTTCAGGCATATGCTCAAAGGAAATGCATGGATAGCGATAGAGTGTGAGAGAGGAAACAGCGCAAAGGCGTTCATACTCTTTCACACCAAAGCTGAAGCGGCCGCATGAGGCAGGTATTGTTATCAATCGGTGACATCGACAAGAAAGCGGAAGGACGGATTCTCTCTCAGCATGGTGGGAGCCTGCACTTCCATCACTTCCCTCGTCGATAAGGCTGCATCATCGATGATCTCATCCACAGAAAACGGTATTCTTTCATCGTCAGCAAGCATGCAGGAGTCGGCAAACGAACTATGGCTCTTGTCGGCTAGCGTTTGAAGCACCTCTGGCGACAATCCAGGACGCATGTTTGTGTTATCAACGTAGAGCGATGCAAGACGGTGAATCTGGTGGATGGTGAGACTTGAGCACAGGTTGGCGATCAGTTCATCTGCACTTGCCGAAGACTTCTGCTTGTAGACCAGGAAGTCGGCCGCCTGCCTGATGTGGGCAAGCTCCTCCCAGGCGCCGCCAGCGTACTGTTCTCTGTCGTCCAGCCAGAGCTTGATCTCCATCAGCCCCTCCATGATGAACTCACCGTTGCTGTAGGAGCAGCACTCCCTCCTCATAATTATGCTATTGAAAAGATTGATGTCCATAAACCCGAAAATTTGGATGAACAGTTTCCTCACAAGGACAGGGAGCACAAAGTTCGCCTTCATGGAGTTCATAAACTGGTCGAGGATCGGGATGATGCTTCCCCAACCGCCACTGCTTCCATCGTCCTCAGTGACAAGACTATTGCGAGAGAGCCTGAGTGGGCTATTATCTGGCGATTTCTTTGGTGCCTTGATGCAGGCGCTGAGATGTCCAAATATGTCCTTCGTGACGTTGTCACGGATGATTCCGAATGCCCTCTCCAGGCACGCATTCACCTGCTGCTTGAAGACCATCGCAGGCCGCTGACCCTCGATATTCTTTGCCATCTCCATTCCAAGATGGCCCTTGCCACTGCCATAGATCATGGACTTGCGCGACAGGCTCCTTCGTCCACTGGAGAACCTCAATGTCTGCTGCATGAGAACAAGCAAGACGGACGTATTGGAGAGCCAATACCCGAGTCCATCATTACTGTCCATAGTCGTCTGAATCCCGGAGACCACAACGTTAATGATGCGGCTGAACACTCGGGTGTGCTCTGACTCAAACGAATGCCAGTGCAGAAGACACCTGAAGACCACCGCAGCCGCAACAGGTATGCCGTGCTCAAAGCCCACGTCCTGCATGATGGACTGCACGAGAAGACCTTGGTCCCGCTGGATCTGTTCCATCATCGCCCTCCTCTTCTTCTGATCTTGAGACATACGCACATCGGTCCTCGAACGAATGAGAGGCGTAACTGGTTCTGGTGCTTCCACAGCTGCTGATGTATCTGGGACCAACGGAGCGGATGCATCACCGTTGGGTTCAGCATTCTCTGCAGCTGCTGCTTCTTTGTAGTCATCTTCAACGGTGCTCTCTCCCCCATTCCCCTGGGGTAATGCTTCCCGACTAGTTGCACTGCCCCTCTCCGAAGCATGGACGGGCGTGCCCTTCGTGGCATGCGCAAATGATAGATCTGCGATGCTGTGCCTTTGGGCACGCGCAGCAACTCTGGTAGCATCCGTCATCTTCTTCCCCCTCACTAGCCTTCCCTCCCCCATCATACCTTCCCTGCCCTTCTCCCTTCGAAGCGAGCGCAAATCAGCCACACTCTCTCGGTACAACGCAGCATTTCCCGATTTCCCTCTTGAAGTTCTTCCTTTGGAGTGAAGCCGACTTTCCCTTGACATCCGCAGCTTGTCGGCTCCCATTGCATTCGGCAGAGATAACTGCTCCTCCTCCTCGTCCTCCTCCTCCTCCTCCTCCTGCTGCTGCTGCTGCTGCTGTTCCGCGTTCCCTTCCTCGTCTTTGTCCCGATTTTGTGATCCAGAAGCGTTTGAACTCTGTGCCTGCATCATCTTGAACATCTCTTGCATCCGTGCCATGGGGTTGAAAAAATTGGCCATGCCGCCAAAGCCCATACCCCCCATCCCAAGGCCATTCGTGCTTGCTGCAGCAGCATTCCTACCACTCTTGGTGGTCCCAGTTGACCCGTCGGCGGCTGCCACCCGTTTCTTGGAGGAGGATTTCTTGCCAGTGCTGGTGGCGGCGTTCTTCTTCTTGATGTTACTGTTGGATTTGTCCGCTGTACTGCCTGCCATAGATTGAGCAGCAGGGCCCATGCCAGGGATGTCCATGCCACCTCCCATCTGAGACATCATCATTGCCGCCATCGGATTCATCATGCCCATGTGGCCCATAGGCCCCATGCTCATGCCCATCTGTTCCATCATGGGGTTCATAAAGGGGTTAAAGCCCATCATAGCCGCCATCGGATTCAACATTCCCATCTGCATAGCCATTAGCTGTGCCATGGGGTTCGTCTGCATTGCCATCATCGGATTGGCCATCATTGGATTGGCCATCATCGGATTGGCCATCATCGGATTGGCCATCATCGGATTGGCCATCATCGGATTGGCCATCATCTGATTGGCCATCATCGGATTGGCCATCGGGTTGGCCATTGGGTTGGCCATCATCGGATTGGCCATTGCGTTTGCCATCATCGGATTGGCCATCATTGGCGTCATGGGGTTACTGGCCATAGAGGACTGAGGGTGCATCCCCACAGCACCAGCCCTCATTTGAGAAACAGTGGCCGTTCCCTGTGCGCTCAGGGGTCCCTCTGCCGACACTCTCATTGCATCCATGGGAGGACTTCCTGGCGGCGTCATATGCTGCTGGTGCCCAGAAGCTGCCATGACTGCAACAGGACTGCCCTGCGGCGCGGCACCATAAGGTGACGGAGCTGCTGCACTCGGTTGAGGAGGAGGTGGTGGTTCTGCAGCTCTTGCCGCCTGCTCGCGCAGGGTCGAGTTCTCTGCCTCTAGCGTCAGCACCTTCTGGGATTGTGCCTTTAAGCTCTGCAGCTCAATCTCCAAGGCCGGGACCTTCTGAGCATCTGTCTTCAAGGCCAAGATTTCCGCCAGAGGAACCACGGGTGGCTCCGGCGGCGGAGGAATAACCACTGATCTCTTGGCTTCCTCCTTGATCGCCTCCATCTCGGCGGCATCCAAACACTGCCGCACCGAGATCGAAACAAGCGTGGACTTCATCTTCACCAAATCAGCCTGGATGCCGTTCATTCTCGTAACCTCTGCCCTCAACGACTCCAACTCTGCAGTCTTTGCTTCAGCTGCTCTCTTGGCTGCATCCACTGCTGCCGCTGCAGCAGCTGCCTCTTCTTCCCATTTCTGCACTTGCTGCTTGAGTCTTTCCACCTCCTCGGGGTCTATCTTTGGAGCCTTCCTTATGTCATCCTGCAGCTTCTCTTCTTCTCCCTCGAGCGCGGCCACGCTGTCCGCCTTCTTCCTCAGCGACTCTATCTCCTTGGGGTCGATCTCCACCACATCCGCCACGGTCCTCCTGAGCTCGTCAATCTCAGTCGTGTCCACATTGGACGCCTCGTACTCCTCGTCCCTGAACTTTTCCACCTGCGTCTCCAAATGGTCAAGCCTCCGCGCCACTCTCGCCAATGACGTGTTCTCTGAGCGCAGGCGCTTTGAATCCACTTCCAATTTCGCAATCTCCGCCTTCATTTCTGCTATTGCTTCGGCATCCTCCTTCGCCTTCTGAGCCCGCAGAGCTGCAGCAGCAGCGTTCACTTCCGTCATCTCGTTCAGGCACTCGTTCGTGGCAGTCTCCGCAGCCGTGACCTTGGCCATCGCCGCAGCGATCCTTGCAGTGGCGGCTTCGCTTGCTTTCTTGAACTGTTCGTTGGTCTGCTTCAGACCTTCGATTGTCTTCTTCGCCTGAGGCGGGAGCTCAGCACTGAGACCAACCTCCAAGTCCTCCTCTGAACGCTGCTTGATTTCTCTCAGGTCCTCCGCATGTTTCTCCCTGCCTTTGCCAATCTCTGCCTTGGTTGCTGACACGTCTTTGCACACTTCCTCGGTTGTGGACTCCAGACTGGTGACCTCGGCAGCACGCTGCGCTTCCAGATCCGTCCGTGTCCCGACCTCTTTTGTCAGCTCCTGCTGCAGACCCGAAAGGTCTCCTTCAAGTTTTTGCTTCACGTCCGTTAGCACTGCTATCTCGGAAGCCAGCTCCTTGAGGTCACGAAGATCAGCCCTGGCGTTCTTGGACCGCCATGCAGATTGGAAAACAACAGACGACGACAGGACCTCCTTATAGCACTTGGATGCGAAGCAGGCACGCCAGTTAGCCTGCATGATCGAGGCCGCCCGGTGCTCCTGCAGCCTGTGCAGCTCGTTCTTAGCACACAGCGATCGAACTGCGGCCTGCACTCGGATGGACGCTGCCTTCATCTCACGGTACCGCCCGAAGGCTTGCATCCCGCGCACATATCGTTGCATCTCTGTGGCAGCCGCCATTTGTCTGAGCCACGTGAACAAGTTGAAAGCCATGACACCTCTCCAGCGAGTCTGCATAACAGTGGCCCCGGCGCGCCACCGCAAGTACTCTTCCCTGGCAAGGAACGTCCGCACCCTGCGGCCAATTCTTTTGGCTGCCGCATTCAGAATGGTCTGTCGTCTTGCATCAAGGGTGGCCATCTGGCCAGCCCGAAGGAACACTTTCGTCTTGCCAATCTGATAATCTTCGAGGCCTGTTCGCTCCAGAACCTTCACGCATGCCAGCCTGTAGTCCTCTCCGCACTGGGCCACCACGTCCGGATAGAGAACCTTGAAACGGTCTTGGAACTCGAAGAACGTACGCCGCGTTGGGAAGCCCGCACAGCTGATTCTCACAGCCTCCATGACGCCGCTGCACCGCAATTGCTGAAGAACAATCCTCTTGTCGAAGTTCAGAGGCTTCAGCAACTGGTTCGGCTTTACGCAACGCACGTAATGCGGCTCTGTCGCGTTCAACGTTTCCATCAACGATTGGAGTTGTTGCTTGAAGCGGGTCCCAATCGAAGAGAAAGACGACTTCGAGCCGCCCTTTCCGCCCCCCTGCTTTGGCTCCTCCGGAGGAGGGGGATACACATCCCTGATAAATGGATCTTTGGAGTTCATCAGCAGCTCCTGATGCTCAGTGATGACAAAGTCCTTGTTCTTTTCGATGAACGTCTCCGTGGAGTACTCCACCTCGCCTGCAAAATGGTCGATCCTGAACAGCGTCTTCTTGAATTTATGCTTTCCGAAGCGCTTGTGCTTGTCAAACGAGCCGTACAACTTCGCCGCAAAAGACTCCGGCGTCGATTTCGGCAACATGCATGCTTCGTCAAGCAGCGCGATGATCCCCACCGGTTTCTTCTCGATCAGATCCAGCACGTCAATGTTGTCCACAAAATCGATGTTGCTCCAGTTGATCTCTTCCCTTATGTATTCCTGCTGCTCCATCTTGAACACGTGATTGTTGAAGTGCTGCTGAAGTTTCTCGTTCGTCAGGTTGATGCAGAGCTGCTCGAAACTGTTCACCTTGAAGCTCTCAAAGCCGTAGATGTCCAAGACGCCGACCAGCGTCGTAGAGGTCGCATCCTGCCCTATAGACACGTTCACTTTTTGCACCAACCAGTCAAACATCTTGGCGTACAGTGTCTTTGCAAGAGCATCCCTGCTACCCAATGCTGCAGTTTTGTTCAGAAGTTTCTTGATTTTTTCTGTGCCAGTCATCATGACCCTTTGGATCAACGAGTACTCCAGAAGATTGGGATCACACGCCAGCAGTTCTGCACAGGCTTCAAGGTGATATCGAGATTTCTCGTCCGCAATCTTCGACGAGTCCGCATCCTTCCCAGGCGCGAACTCGATGTTACCCAGATGAAGAATGGCTGCCACGATTCGGAAAATGCCGTCCTGCTCCTCCTCACTTATCCCAACGACGTCCATGGCGTTTCGTGTGATGCTGTACTCTTCCTTGTCGTCGATACGCGGCACTTCAAAACACTCGCTCTGGTTCAGGTAATGGTAGTCTGATGCCTTTCCTATCTTCATTTTTGCCCTATCCTCTTCCGATGCCCCTGCGCAGAGCTGATAGAAACAGTGGTAACTCCTCTCCGGAGTGGAAACCTGGGTCACTCTCGATCTCTCCAGCAGGTACGTCCTCACAGCCGCTCCCGAGATCTTCGTCCCGTTAAACTGAATTTCGACAAACTTGCCGAAGCGACTCGAGTTATTGTTACGCACTGTCTTCGCATTTCCGAAAGCTTCAAGCAGTGGGTTCGACTCCAACACCTTCTGCTCCACAGTTCTCACTCCGCCGCTGGAAGCAGCACCACCAGAGCGTCCGCCCATAAAGGCCAGGTAGTTCATGATCAGCTTCGTCGCCTCCGTTTTTCCGGCTCCACTTTCCCCGCTCACCAAAATCGACTGGCTTTGCCCCTCGTCCAGCATCGCTTTGTAGGCCCTGTCAGCCACTGCATAGACATGAGGCTGTGTGACCTCGCCCGGCTGAGAGTTCTTGAAAATCTCCATCAGCTGAGTGCCGACCAAGTGCGGCACAGCCTGAAACGGGTTGATTGCGATACAAATGTTCCCAGTGTAGGTGTAGATCTCTTTTTCCATGTATCGACGGAGAAGATTATCTAACACCCCGGGCTCATGGAGGTAGGACAACCGGGTCATGTCTTCCACTCCCAACGGCTTCGTGTCTTCGTCTCGAGGATGCACCATTTCGGGGGAAGACTCGACGATGGTCCCCTTGATGTTCTTGCTCGTAATTTTCTTGGCCTCGATTTTCATGACAACGGCCTCAATCCACATGTCTTCTGCATCCTCCACCCACACTGGGGACCCAATTGCAACCTGCTCCGCCATTCTGAACTATAAATATATGATGACAAGAGTTTGCGTCGGCCACGTCCCTCTTCCAGAAGATATCAACAAGATCGGCAACGCCGCCGCTAAAAATTGTCGATCTGTTGAAATCACAGAATTCTCCGCTGGACAATAATAAAAAAGACTCAGAAAAACAAAATTCAAAAAAAAGAGAAAAATAACCTCCTAACCTTGGTGTGAGAGAAAAAAATGTTCACTAACCATAAACAGAGTGCCAGCCTAAGTGAGACACAGCGAGCCTACACCCCCCTCATTCACACACACACACACACACACACACACACACACACACACACACACACACACACACACACACACACACACACACACACACACACACNGAGAGAGAATGTGTCCTCTTACTACATAAATGGCGTCATCAAGTGACCAGTTTCACGTACGCAACACCTGCAAACAATGGAAAAGCAAACAAAAATCGGAACAAATTAAACAATCCATGACATAGGCATATTTCTAGGATAGGAAAATATCAGGACAATCAATAGAAATAATAAATAAATGAAGTGTGCCCTGCATGAATCTGAATTTTCTCAGATTATAACGGGGCCACCAAAGTCCAAATATAGATCGAAAACAAGAAAAAAACTTAAAGGGCACCATGAGGCGATAATTGGTCATCCATACATACTGCCAGGCAAACATGAGATTAGTCAGCAGCATCTACAGCTTTCTGAATACTACCTTCTGCCCCCGAATACAACATACGGCCATTACAGCTACTGTATTTAGACCGAAAGATGCCCCAGATACAGCTATAATTACCGTAACGTTGTATTTGGGGGAAGAAGGTAGCATCACTAATTCTTATATCAACCTGTAGTAATGCGATGACCCGGGCAATCATAGACTGGACACCAGGACAAGTTCCCATCTCACACATACATTGGGGAAGAAGGNGAAGGTAGCATCACTAGTTCTTATATCAACCTGTAGTAATGCGATGACCCGGGCAATCATAGACTGGACACCAGGACAAGTTCCCATCTCACACACACATTGGTTTCAAGCCTCCGAAATAACAAACAGCGAGGATTCTGAATAACAAACAGCGTGGATTCTGAAAAACAAAATGCATGATGAGCATGTTGAAAACATAAGACCGATCTCAACAAGTTTTAGAACTTTGCGGCACTGTGCAACAGAAATTGTATGGACCGATGACCGCCAACTGAATCAGATTGCTCTTTAAACAAATAATCAGATTGTTCTTCCAGTGCATCCTTGCTGTGTGCAGTACATGAATGATACCCTGGACCAGGGGGCTCGTCCCATGGTAGCAGCATTGAATTTCGTCAACGCCCGAATCTGGACGTGTTTGTTGAGATGTGCAGAAATCAGGTCGAGTTTCCTCAACCGCACGTCTCCACAAACACATGTCCAGGTTCGGGCGTTGAGGACACTCAACACTGCTACCGTGCGACAAGGCCCCAGTGTCAATCCATCTTCAGTTTCTGTCTGTTCAATAGTCCGTTTCTCCATTTTGTGTCGCAGTGTATGTTTCCATCTCTCTCTCTCTCTCTCTGTGTGTGTGTGTGTGTGTGTGTGTGTGTGTGTGTGTGTGTGTTCCCGACATCATTCAGAATTAATTCAGTTCATCAAGGTACCTTGGTAAGAGAACATGAAGGGTGATTTATTCCTGAAGAGTGTAAAAAAAAACGAAGAAAAGGGATAAAAGAACATGATTTATTCGGAAATTATTCCTGAAGAGTGAAAACAAAAACGGAGAAAAGGGAAAAAGAAAAGAAAAAAAAGGACAAAAAGGGAAACAGAAAAGAGGGGAAAAAGGAAAAAAGGAGAAAAAGGGAAACAGAAAAGAGGGGAAAAAGGAAAAAGGGAGAAAAAAAGAAAAAGTACAAAACTCTCCCTTCTGTTCCTTAACTTTCGTTATTGCTTTTTTCATTGTCCTCTTCGTTTCCTTTCTCTTCATTCTTCTTCCTCTCTATTCTCCTTTTTTCTTCAGCTTCACCTTTTCAACTCAAATTCTGAAACACCCCCCACATCCATTGCACCCATCAGCTTTGCGATACACCAGGTACCTGTGCAAGCTTTTCTTTTTTTTATAATCGTGCAAGCTTTTCAAATGCCCCGGGGGGCCAAGTCCCACTAGTGGGTCGTTAGGCGAGTGTCAGTAGGGACCAGGAGCGATGCTCCACCAGACCTAGAGCCTGGGGACCGCTTGTAGGCCCACTAGAGCCTGGGGACCGTTTGCAGGCCCACTAGAAAATAGGAATTACAAGGTATAGCAGAGGTAGTAGCCGCAGTTGAGGAAACTCCTATAGCCGCGTTGAGTTTATTCGACGCCTGAATCTGGACGTGTTTGTGAAGATGTGCAGCAGTCGAGGAAACTCAGCGCCATTTCCGCACATCTCAGCAAACACGTCCAGATTCAGGCTTCGAATCAACTCGTCCGCATCAGGGTAGTTTTCCCAGGAGGACTGTTGAAAAGTGGATTGGAATGATGTTCAATGTGTCATGTGCCCCATTATGGCTTTTTGATGTGGGTGCTAATATTTCCGGTGCCTTGCATGCGAGGTCATGAACCAGCCAGCACTCCCGTCCCTACTGTAAGCTAAACTGGGTAATGCTCCCAGGAGAACAACTCGGTGGAATTTGTGGAGACGTGCAGAAAATCGCGTCGAGTCTCCTCAACCGCACTTCTCCACAAACACGTCCAGATACAGGCGTTGAGGAAACTAAACACGGCTAGTGGGACTCGACGCCGGGTGGCAGCGGACCCTTCAAAGGCCCGGTAGCAGCGGAGCTTTCAAGGACCCGATCGAATTTGGATATGCCCCTCCCGTCATTCATCATGGTTTAGCTTTGCCCCTCTAGCCTCACCTAGGATTCAATTGAGCCGTTCAACGGTCAAGGACGACCATCACCGCTCACCCCTCTCTCTCTCTCTCTCTCGCTCGCTCGCTCGCTCGCTCGCTCACTATGGTGCGTTATATACATCCAAAATAAGGCTGTGTTGTGTTCGACGGGAAGATAAAGATGAAAAGTGACCGTGGCCTCTCTTCTTCCTGCCTGTGGCTTTAGAAAGAAGGGAAGAAAACACATCGCATCTCTTCTTCCCTTCATGCACCCAGTCTTTTTTCTTCCCCCTATGCTTTTCTTATAGTTTCTGTTGCATTTTTCCTTTTCTCTAACAGAAAGAGGCGGTCGCATGCCGTGGATCCCCGGGGCTAACCGCAATTTCGTCGTCAGCTGCTCCTACTGACGGCACGAACCCGGTAAGCCCGGACGATTTCGGTTCAAAAAGCTTCTGAAAAAAAAATTGCGGCGAGGAACGCCGAAGTCAAACGCCCAAAGGTGTATCTACCGAAAGTTATCGCTTGATTCATGCAGGCGGGATTTCGTTCCCCGTCTCCTTTCTAAGGCCCGAGCGATGGCTTCCTCTTTCTGCCCTCCGAACAGAGCGACCCAACGCCATGAACATAGAAAAAGCTATCATCACGTGGCGATCAATAGCGAGGCGCTCAGTCATATCGGCACGTGGCGATCAATCATATGATGGCATGGAGGTCAATCATGATGACGGGGCGCTGCGCTCCGTCACGATGATGATGATGATGACGTGGCGCTCTGTCAATCATGATGACGTGGCGCTCCGTCATGACGACGTGGTGCTCCGTCAATCGTGATGACGTGGCGCTCTGTCATGATGACGTCCAGGTAAATCATGATGGCAATGATGGGGTGGGCTAGAGGGAGAGAGAGGGAGAGAGAGAGAGAGAGAGAGAGAGAGAGAGCGACGACAGGCTGGGGGGGGGGGGGGGGGGGGGGGGGGGGTCATAGCTCGCTCACCATCAACGAACTCCTCCGGCTTTCGTCGAGAGATAATGCTGTGGGAGCGTTCTGACGAGTTTTCCGGAACTGAAAAACACAAAGCAGAAACAAACAGCAAACAAAAGCCGGGGTGAGGCTCACAACTGCCCCCCCAGCATCCTTCCTCGCCTCCCTTGCACTTTCCCGACCTCCCTCAGCCCTTCGCCGTCTCTCTCTCTCTCTCTCTCTCTCTCTCTCCGCCCTTTGCAAATATGTGTATATATCGTCAAACAGAACTGGAGGACAACAAACGAGGGGCTGTGACAAACTGTTTCGTCGGAGTATCACCGACTCATCAGGAGGATGAACCTATATATATTTGAATTCTGTCCCCACAAAAGGAAGTTCCCCCCCTCCTCTCTCTCTCTCTCTCTCTCTCTCTCTCTCTCTCTCTCTGTGTCTGTCTGTCTGTCTGTGGGAAAGAATAAACAAAAGAACTCGCAACTT